TCAAAAAACGATAACACTGAAGATGACATAAATATTGTTTCTTTTACGCCATTGTTTATGTTATTGTATTTTTAATCGTAAAGCACCAAGGTATTTATGCTTTTCCAGAGTTTACAAAAACACGACAAAGAAGGTCCCAACATTAAAAAAGAATATTCGTGACTCATAATCTCCAGACTGTTCCTCAAGGCTCCCCTCGCTCTGTTTTCTGGGTTTTCTGCAGTCACATGCAACGATAACAGTATTAACTCTATATAAAAGAAAAAAAGAAGGAAGTTTTGAGGAGTATTGAGTTGTTGGGCACTGGGGCGTCGAACAGGAAAGAAAACCAAACATCAGCAAAAAATCCCATTTGTGTGCAAACCAAAACCAAATCGAAACATTAAAATTTTTTTCATTCTGGAGTGAAATTAAAAAAATAATCTTTGAGGTTTCCAGTTCAAGGGGAAAAGTGGGGTACGTGAAACATACAGAAGTTTGACGAAGTGCGAAGAAACTTTACCCAAATCGTATAAGGTCTTAAATATTAGTAACACAAAGATGTGGTGGTGCCACCAACGACTCACTTTGGGGTGGCGGCCGGCCTCGTACCTGGAAGCTTTTTCTCCGACTTTCGCACAAAGCCTCTACCGTGTAAAACTGCGTAGGTTGCCCCTAAGTAACCTGCAGGTTCCTTGTCTGCAGGTTGGAAATCCGACAACGGCACTTTTCTGGGGCATCGTTCATAACCCTAGCCGTTTTTTAATCCAAGTGGCCCAATCTCCTCCGGTTAGTGGCTGGTTGGGGAAAGGCACGCACTGAAAGCTATACCGGCTCGTGAGGCAACACTGGATCGGCACTCGATCCATTATCGTCAGTATCCGCTTGCATTTTAAAGCAACTAATATCTCCGCTTGTTTTCTTATTTTTTTTTAAGAAGGAAAGCGCGAAGAACCAGCTACACAAAATCAAATTTGGGTGTTTTACGAGCCAAACCGATGACAAGCATTTGGGACACCTCAGCAGACGACTGAGGATTAATTGGGACCACCTGGGGATCGGAGGTGCAACAGAAAGCTTGATTACATGACCTTCTCCGCAATAAGCCTTTGTCAAATTATGCGCACCTGGCCCGGGATTAGAATCCGCCATCTGGTGTCTGTAGGCCGGTACCTTGCCTTGGAGCCACTGAGGTGCCAAAGAAACCGGCAGTGTAGTGAGCCTGACGCACGACCGGTCATTACCTGATCAGGTGTATCTTGGGGGGCCGGGGGACCTGCGAGCTTGTCTGGTTGCGTGCTTGACCTTGAGCTCTGTCGGGTGCTGTACCTGCGGGCAGTGTTTTCTCTGCCCCACGGGCCATCCCGCTGGAAATAAACGCCCAGAGCAACTACAAACTTTCGTGAAGCAAGATGTCTTGCCTTGGCGACTTTGTCCGCATTCATCATCTTGCATATTTCGTTGTCTCATGCCAGCATCTCATTTAGGGGTATTCAGTCGCATTGCTTCCAGTTTGCAAAGAGGTAGCAATTCCTGGTGCACACCAGACCGCCTCAAATCTTGTCGCTGAACCATCCAATTCAAGGCTTGTTTCATAAATCATGATAAATAACGAGAAGTATCATGAGAACCTGATACTGAGAAGAGGAGTGTTTATGGCACAAAATAAAGTGTGCAGCGTTTTTTAGTCAAATTTGTAGCACTTTCACGTTTTTTCCACACGAGTTCTTAAAATCTTTATTTTAAATTGTGGTATTTGATCTCGTTTCTTGAGATTCAAAAACTTATATTAAAATTCTTCGAACATGAATAGCAAAGAAATTCGAAATTTTCCAACTTTTCATACTCAATCTGTAATGAGAGTTGGAATCTTCAAACCTGAACTTTCAGAAACTTGACATCTTTAAACTTTTCAAATTCAAAACACAGCAGAATTTGAAATTTGCGAACTTTTCAAGTTCAAACCTCAACTCCTGCAATCTCAGCAGGTTTGCGACATCCCTAGTTATGATTTTATCTAGTCAGCTAGTTGGGCTGAATGGATGTAGAAGTTGCGACAGTAGTTTTTCCGTCTGCTGCTAAGTTTCCAACGTCTGAGAATAGCTATTGACACAGCACCGTCTGAAACCACCACGCTGCAGTGACGTTATTGAGCAGCAATCGTCGCTCAGAATAAAGCAGTGGGGAACATGTTTGGCTGGACAGCAAATTCGCATGTCTAGACATTGTACATACGCTCAGATGTCATCATAAAGTATATCTGTCGTATTATCTACATCTGGCCCACAGCGCAATCATTGTTTTACATTCCTAAATGGCGTGTTTCACCCCTCTGAGAGGTGCATTCTCCGGTCTTGAACAACTGAAGGAAGTTCTGTGCCTCACTCACTTCGTGCTGCTGGGTAACCTTTCACAAAGAAATGCTCTAGCACTGATAGGTGTATAGTGCTTTATTATAGACATTCAGGAGAGAAAGCAGAATTTTACTCGCCTCACTCAGACATGGTACAGGTTGCACAGTGGGTTCGCTTTACAGAATTGTTTTGTTCTAAAAAAGAACCTCAGATTATGCCTGTAGTCTCCTTGTCACTGCCAAAATAAAAACATGGTTTGCCTTTGCAATGCAAACTATAGAGACTGCGGTGGTAGATTATCCCATTTCGTCTGAACTTGCAAGTATGCACACATCTTGTTTTGGTCAACGCAGGGCTAGGGAAGAGAGTTGAGATACACAGCCCTGTAAAGACAATGCTGCATTGCTTTTATTTTTTTTTAGTCTCTTTGTGTAGAATTGTGTGGCATGTAAACTAGCTTGTCTGACTGTTCAATTTTTTGGCTAACGTATTTATACTCTTGTCATACCAGCTGGAATGGCGATGGGCAACTCTTCGACGGGAAATGCACATCTGAAAGAGACGTGGCCCGACGAGCATCACAGCTACAACATTGCTGCCACAGTACAACTAGATACAATAGTTAACGGCTTATTCAAGTGACCAAGTGGTGACGAGGGAATCTCGTGGCCACCTTCAGCAGGTAGGTTTGTCAATAAGGTGGCAGATATCACTCTTTGTTCAATTCCTATGGTGCTGTCACTGCCATTCAATGGAATGGAATGAGGAAAGAGGTACTGTAGAAGCCTTGAATCAAGGTTTTTTCAGCACTCAATTTTGATGAATCTAATTATTGGGGCTTCAAGGGTCACACGAAAATTCCAAACAATATTTTTTACAAAACCATGCTGCTAGTTGCGAATTAGTTTTCTCAACTTAATGTGCGGGTTATTGCAGAACCACCACGCACTTTAACAGATATTAAACACAAGCATGATGTTGTATTGCTTTGTCATTTAATGGCCTCACCTATCGCCATCCCACACCTCTGTTTCAAGTGCTGCGTGTGTGTCGTCATGGATAAAGGTTTTATGGCTATTTAATTCCATTGTAGCTCATGAGGGAAATAAATGTATCTCATTTCCTTCCTCCTTCCAGCGGGGCCACTGTGAATCCTGTCGGAGAAAAATAACATGTCTGGCTCCTTCGTGGGTTATGGCAGAGCTAAATCGCCACAAACCTAGACGACTGTCACGATCGTGAACCGGAGGAGGAAATAGAAGAAGACGAGAAGGCGACCGATGCGTGGTGTGGGGAAAAAGAAAGAAAAGAAGAGTTTTTGGAACGAGCATCAAGAGGAACGAGACAGCACTGGTCCGGTGAACAGCACGGCGACTTCGGCTACGCTCCGGAGGAAGTCCACCCGAGGCCCGCTCCCGGGAGTCCACCGTTAACCAACGGGGCGACTTCGGCTACGCTCCGGAGGAAGCCCACCCGAGGCCCGCTCCCGGGAATCTACCGAGATCAACCAACGAGGCGTCCTCCGTCAGAGCGGCAAGATGATGTTCTTCCCCAAGGAAAGAGACCTGAGAGCGCACCAGAGCCGGGACACTTCAAGGTTGTGAGTGCTAGGGGTGGAGACTTGGGTCTAGGGGACTAAGACAATACTGTACCGTACGGTTTCTGATGCCTTTCGCTTTTGTTTATTTATGTAAATACATGTACATACGGTGAAATTTCGTAACCTGTTCGTCCGGGTCCTCTGATTTCGGGGTCCGTCTCGGTTGAACGTGACAAATTGGCGAGCCTGCCAGGATCCCTTTTTTTTCCATCAAATTTTTGCTTGAATCACGTCGACGGGGACACCTAGGGATATGTGAAACCGGACGCAACAGTATGGAAAACGACAGATTGATCGCGGCCGGGGAAAAGTTAGGTTATGTAGGGAAAGAATTGAAGAAATGGGTTGAGGATGAAAAGGCTAGTGCTCGAGAAGAAAGGGCAAGGGCAAGACAGGAACGGGAGTTGGAGGGAGCACTGTTGGAAAAAGAACGAGAGGTTCTACAACTTAGACTAGCGATACAGGAAGGAGCGGCGTCGGGTCGCGAAAGGATCCGAGGCGATGGGGAAGGTGCGCCGCCAGGACACGGACACCAATTTAGTCCTCACAAGTTGATTCCCCAATTTAATGAAGACCGAGATGATTTAGATGCGTATCTACAGCGTTTCGAACGCACCGCGACGGGTCTCGACTGGCCCCAGCAAAAGTGGGCCACGACGTTGAGTCTTTGCTTGTCCGGGGAAGCACTGACGGTAGTTGGCCGCCTGTCCCCAGCAGACGCGCTAGATTACGCGAAAGTCAAGCTTGCACTCATGCAAAGATTCAGGTACACTAAAGAAGGCTACAGGGAAAGGTTTCGCGAAGCTAAACCGGAAAACGGAGAAACGAGGAGGCAGTTCGCCGCCCGGCTTGCAGGGTATTTCGACAGGTGGATCGAGGTCGCTGGAGTGGAGCGGACATTCGAGGCCCTCCGAGACAGCGTATTAGTGGAGCAGTTCTTACTCAGTTGCTCTAGCCGGTTGTCGGTATTTCTACGTGAACGAGACTGCAAAACCTTAGATGAGGTAGCATCCAAAGCGGATCTATATCTAGAGGCCCAGTTGCAAACAGGAGCGAGCAGGCCGAAGATGGAGGACTGCACCAAGAAGTCGAGTGCTGGAGAGACAGACAAAGCGACGAGCGGTGCAAGCAGAAAAACCATCCGATGCTTCCTTTGTAATAAGGTCGGCCACAAGGCAGAAAATTGCAAGAACCGCCCGCCTACGTTCAAAAAGCTGACGTGCTGGAATTGTGGAAGACCCGGGCATCGAGCCGAGAATTGTGGGACGAGACCAAACGATCGACCTCAAGCGTCCTGCGTATTAGCTGAGCAAAGCGACGGCAGTGCGTCCGAGTTTGATGAAGCCTATGTCACGCTTCAGAACGGCGCCAAGATCCCAGTGATCAACGCGGCCGTAGGACGAGCTCCAAAGTTTCTAGTGGAAAACATGCCGGTAGTGGAGGGACGGCTAGGTGACCGCAAAATAACGGTTTTGAGGGACACCGGTTGTAATACGGTCGTTGTACGAAAGGAGATGGTTCAACCTGAGGAATTTACCAGGCAGTCCAGTCCAGTCTATCTGTTGGATAGGACCGTGAGGTATGTGCCGGAAGCGGAGATCAGGGTGAGGACGCCATACTTCACCGGAAGGGTAAGGGCGAAGTGTGTTAGTAACCCGCTGTACGATCTTGTGCTCGGTAACGTGCCGATGGTGCGAGGCGTTAATGATCCGGACCCGAAGTGGAACGAAATGGAGGAGGCGAGTCCAGCTGGAAATTTGGACAGGCAGACGTCCATAAAACAAAACCAGGAGACAAGCCAAGAAAAAAGTGCAGAACGAGCTGGCAAGGGCTCTTCCGAATCAATGCCGGAGAACACCCCAAGCTCGGGACAACGCGAGGACGAGCCCATGCTCATCGCGAACGCGACAGAGACAGGAAAGGACAAAGATCAATCCAAAGAGCCGCGAGCCGAACTGAGGGTACCGCAGGTTTCGCCACTGGAAGCGACAGCCGAAGAGAAGCTCAAGGAGCAAGAAAGCGACAAGAGCCTCGAGAAATGTTTCCACAACATCGGTAAGACCTTTCCTAAGCATGGAGGAAGAACTAAGCGAAAGTTCTTTATAAGGAACAAGTTGTTGTATAGGAGTGTCATCTACAGCTCCGGAAGAAAAACGGATCAGCTGGTGCTTCCCGAGAAGTTCCGACGAACCGTGGTAGCCCTGGCCCACGATAGCATAATGTCGGGTCACCAGGGGATAAACAACACGATAGGGCTGGTCGCAGAAGAATTTTTCTGGCCCGGAATGCAGAGTGAGATACGAAGATACGTGCGATCTTGCGACGTTTGGCAGCGCACCGTGCCTAAAGGAAGAGTGGGTAAGGCACCCTTGGGGACCATGCCAACCATAGCGACGCCCTTCCAAAGGATTGCCATAGACATCATTGGCCCCATTACGCCGAAGTCGGATTCGGGAAAGAGATACATCCTGACCATGGTGGACGTAGCCACTCGCTACCCGGACGCGGTAGCTTTGCAAAGCACTGGTACCCCAGAGGTGGCGGAGGCGTTGATGGACATGTTTGCCCGATATGGCGTACCGGAAGAGATCCTCAGTGATCGAGGATCAAATTTTACATCGGACCTTATGAAGGAGGTGGGCCGACTGTTGTCAATGAGACACCTCCTAACGACCCCCTACCATCCTATGTGCAACGGCCTTGTGGAGAGGTTCAACGGCACATTAAAACAAATGCTCAGACGAATGTGCCAGGAGAGACCTAAAGACTGGGACCGGTACTTGCCCGCTCTACTTTTTGCGTACCGAGAAGTACCACAGTCCAGCTTAAAATTCTCTCCATTCGAACTCTTGTATGGGAGAAGAGTACGAGGACCGTTAACCATCCTAAGAGAAGTCTGGTCCAACGAAACAATGAAGAAAGAAACAAAGACTTCGTATGGGTACGTTTTAGAGTTGAGGGAGAAGCTCGAAGAAACATGTGAGCTGGCCCATCGATGTCTGGAGGTAGCGAAAGAAAAATATAAGGGAAATTACGACCATAAGCGGGTCAAACGTGAAATGAAGGCTGGAGATAGGGCGCTAATACTTCTTCCAAGTGATAACAACAAGATGCTTATGCAATGGAAGGGCCCGTTTGAGGTCACGGCCCGAAAAAAACGAAGTAGATTATGAGCTTGAGATTGGAGGAAGAAGCAAAATATTCCACGTGAACATGCTTAAGAAGTACGAGGAGAGGGAAGAGAGCGAACAAGTCGGCTTACGCTGTGGGGTGGCCGTAAAAGTCGACGAGGATAGCGACATCATCACCGAAGCAGGTGAGGACGAAGTTCCAATGCTCTCTCTGACAAAACAGCAAGACAAACGAGACGTGGTAGTCCATACCGATTTAGACAGAGAGAAAAGACAACAAGTGTTTGACTTGATCAGTGAATACGAAGAGATCTTTTCAGATCTACCGGGAAGGACGAACTTGATGACGTGCGACCTCCAGTTGACCACCCAAACGCCGGTACACATCAAACAGTATCCGCTACCATTGAAAGTACATAAGCTAGTGGAGGAAGAGATCACCGCGATGCTGAAGATGGGGGTTATCGAAAGATCGACGTCACCGTATAATGCTCCTATGGTAATGGTGAGAAAGCCAGACGGATCGAACCGGTTTTGCATAGATTTCAGGCGTCTAAACCTGGTGTTAGTGTCCGATGCTGAACCCATACCAAGGCTAGACGTAACGTTTGCCAATGTGGGATGCAAAAAATTCTTCTCAAAACTTGATTTGACCAGAGGCTATTGGCAAATACCCATGGAGGAAGGGTCAAAAGCCAAGACCGCCTTTTCGTCATCAAGCGGATTGTACCAATTTAAGTTCATGCCGTTCGGGCTGAAAACGGCAGCAGCCACTTTCACTAAGTTGATGCGAAAGCTGCTGGAGGGTATCCCCGACGCACATCATTACATCGACGATGTACTGGTAGCAACAGACTCGTGGAAGCAACACCTCGACACGCTGAGAGCAATATTTGACAGGTTGCGCGCCGCCGGCATTACAATAAAGCCGAAGAAGTGTGAAATTGGATTCCGACAGATAAGCTTTTTGGGGCACCGAATAGGATTGGGGCTCATCGCACCAAAGCAAGAGATACTTACGCGGATACAAGACGCACCCAGACCAACGACGAAACGTCAGGTTAGGTCATTTTTGGGGCTGACAGGATTTTACCGAGAATTTATACCAAACTACGCGGGAGTAGCGGCTCCTTTGACAAACCTGACGAAGAAGGGAGCAAGTAATGAGGTTGAGTGGGGTGAGCAGCATGAAGCAGCCTTCTCGCTCCTGAAGCAGTCGTTAGCCGAGCCACCCATTTTGCTGGCTCCGAATGTAGAGAAGGGATTCACTTTGCGCACTGATGCTTCTGACACGAGCATAGGGGCGGTATTACTGCAAGACCGAGACGGGGTATGGCATCCCGTAGCTTACGCGAGTCGTAGACTCAGCGAGGCGGAGAAGAACTTTGCGACCGTAGAAAGAGAATGCTTAGCACTGGTGTGGGCGGTGGAGAGGTTCAAGATTTATTTGTACGGCCAACATTTTCGGGTACAGACCGACCACCAGCCGCTTGAGTTCATCAACAAAGCTAAACACAACAACAGTCGCATCATGAGGTGGAGTTTGAAGCTGCAGGACTACAGCTTCCACATAGAGTACATAAAAGGAAAAGATAACGTCGGTGCTGATTACTTGAGCCGGATATAAACGTGTAATTAACAGAGGGTAGGTAATGGTAGGAAAACAGCGTTTCTCAGTGTTTCAGTTAGATTAGTTTTCTTTCTTTTTGCTGAGGACGAGTCACAATGTCCCTTCAGGATTAATTGAGTAGGGCAATCGTATATCGAAGGAGTAGCGGTGTTTTGAGGTTCGTGGGGAGGCATGGAAATCTCGTGGCGCTATACACGTGCCGGTTTCTGTTGATAAACAGGGTGGGGTTAGTACAGTGCCAAGAGTGTGGTAATGTGTTGTGCATGCGGATGCTTCAACGACAGGCCGTGTGCTGTGAGTAAAACGATACCCGAAGGGTTCTGCGGCACGCGCCCTGACAGCCGAGAAAAGACACCCAGGGAAAGGACACGCAAGTGTAGACGAAGAAGAAGAAAATTCACAAGATGAATTTTTCGAACATTGGGGGCATTGTCACGATCGTGAACCGGAGGAGGAAATAGAAGAAGACGAGAAGGCGACCGATGCGTGGTGTGGGGAAAAAGAAAGAAAAGAAGAGTTTTTGGAACGAGCATCAAGAGGAACGAGACAGCACTGGTCCGGTGAACAGCACGGCGACTTCGGCTACGCTCCGGAGGAAGTCCACCCGAGGCCCGCTCCCGGGAGTCCACCGTTAACCAACGGGGCGACTTCGGCTACGCTCCGGAGGAAGCCCACCCGAGGCCCGCTCCCGGGAATCTACCGAGATCAACCAACGAGGCGTCCTCCGTCAGAGCGGCAAGATGATGTTCTTCCCCAAGGAAAGAGACCTGAAAGCGCACCAGAGCCGGGACACTTCAAGGTTGTGAGTGCTAGGGGTGGAGACTTGGGTCTAGGGGACTAATACAATACTGTACCGTACGGTTTCTGATGCCTTTCGCTTTTGTTTATTTATGTAAATACATGTACATACGGTGAAATTTCGTAACCTGTTCGTCCGGGTCCTCTGATTTCGGGGTCCGTCTCGGTTGAACGTGACAACGACACAGGCTCTGACCGGGCCTATGTACACTCGCACAACTGGTATACTCGGCTCAACTCTAAGCTGACGGTGCATTGGAAGTTACGTGCTTGCTGGACCAGTTGTATGCCCATCATTTGCCATTTGATCGCACTTCCCGCCCCGTGCGCCAGGAGCAGGGTCCGGTGATGAGAGGAAGGCGGTCGATCAGTGACGGCGTAGCTCCCACCGCACTGTCAGCTTGGTAGTGAACAGAGCATAGGAAACAGCTCGTTGCCACTAAATGACACAGAGCAGGTTTATATAATATGGAGGCCTCTTATTGAGTATTGGAGACCTGTGGCCAGAATCAAACATTTGGGATGGAACCAGCGATAACTAACTGGACTGATTCCCACCGAACAAATTGAAAGTGGGGAAAGCAACGGTAATGTTGCAAACCCAGCATATTCAGCTGTAGCTCACAGTTGTGTTTTGGGGTCAGTCTGGACATATAGAAATGACGGACTAGCACACGCCCAGAAATATAGGTCGGGCTCTGGGGATGATTGGATTATTTACTTATACTGATGAGCACCTTGGATAAGCAGGCATCATTCAATAGGTATGCTAACCACATTAAGGAATTCTGTGTTATATTTCCAAGTCTAACCTATAGGCCGGGGGTGGCCAAAGTGACATGGCGTTAGAGCCGCAAACAAAACAACAAAAGTTCAAAGAGCAACAGGAAAAATAAAGAGAGAAAGGCTACTTAAAACTATCTGGAGGGAACAGTGCTTTCCAAAAAGGTTAAGTATAATTGTTGACTACAACAAATAACAGCAAGCAGCAGAACGTTACTTTAAAGGGACACTACAACGAAATTTCGGCGCTCATTTTTTGGTGTACCGTATTTACTCGCACAATGAACGCACTCGCGTAATGAACGCACCCCCCAAGTCGGCTCACAAAATTTCGACTTTTTTTTTCACCCGCGTAATAAACGCACCCCCAACTCCGACGTCAAAATTTTGACCCCCTTCCCCCACGTGCGCGAGATGAACGCACTTTTCTATCCTGGTGCAGCGAGGTCGCGAATGCATGGGCAGCATGGGCGAACAAAACGCCTTGCAAAAGCCGTTAAAAAAAATTAAAAAAGAGCCAACCGAAGCAAGAAAAAAGAAACATGGAGCTTTTTTTTTTTTTTTTTGCACAGCGCAGTCTGGACTAGGGATGTCGCGAACCACCCTAGGTTCGATTTCGAAAGGTTTCGATATTTGCGAAGCGAACTGAAGTTCGATTTCGAAAAATTCCGATATTTTCGTACCGACCGAGGTTCGATTTCGAAAAATTCGCAACTTTTGTCCACAGCGAAGTTTCGAATTTGAAAAGTTCGAAGCTTTCACGGTTTCTAAAATTTCGAATTCGAATATTTCGAATATTTTTTACTTCAGGTTCGATAAATTCGAAGATTTCGAAATTCTTTGTAAAAAAGATTCGAAAACTTCGAACGCTTCGAATTTTTATAGACATGAAGTTCGAACAATTCGAAGATTTCGAATTTCTTTTTCCATAAAGTTCGAAAAGTTCGAAGGTTTCGATTCTCTTTTAACGCTAAATTAAAAAAAAAAAAAGAAAAAAATTTTGAAGATTTTGAGTTTCTTTCTAATCCAAGTTTTCAAAGTTCGAAGTCCGATTTTCAAGTTTTTCCACAGTTTCAGTTTCAAATAACGTTTTCACGACTCACTGGTTTTCACAAAATCAAGTTTAGAAAAGTTAGGGTGTGATATCTAGATTCTGCGAAGTTGGTCAGGCAATTAAATGAGACGACGAGTGTCCCGGATGTGCTAGAATATTTGCCAGTGCAGAATTGTGACCGCCAGCCCCGTGGGGGGGGGGGGGGGGAAGGGGGTCTTTAACCTGCATCAAGCAGTAGTGATTTCACGAACACACTGTTTTACGAGACTCTTCCAGTTCGAAACGGCCAGGGGCGAGCAGGAGGTTGAGGCTCAGAAAAACCGTGAAGCGACCTGGCAAACTAGCTCGCCACCCCTTGCACGCTGGTAGTAATCCGATCCGGTGAAGTTTATAATTGTCCTGGAGGTTTATTTTCTGGGACGGAGGAATCGCCTCGCAAAAAGCACAAAAGCCGACACAACTCGAGGTCGAGGAGCGTTCTACCATACAAGTGGCGTCGGAAGAGGAAAAACGGGGGGAAAGAGGGTAGCGGGGGGGGGGGGGGGAGGGGCTTCAGGCTCCTGCTTCCCCTTGCAGGTATTTCGGACTGTTAAAGAAAACAATACGGGGAAAGAGGGCGTGGTCGAGCTTATTTTAATCTGAAATTATTTATGCATATGTATAGCTAATGTCGCTCTTCACTGCATAAAAGGTTGCGTAGATGGTCATTGTTAGAAACTCGTTGTCAGAAGGCACTGCTCGTCACATGCTTAGTGGTTCGGAAGTTCAAAGCTGTCT